AAACTTTTAAAAGAACCCCAAACAAACTGGAGTTTTGTGGAAAGGCTGTAAACACTTGAATGTGCTACTTGGAACAAGTCTGCCATATAAAATGTAGACAGACAAGAAGCTATACTGACCCTGGATAACCTCATATTGAGTGATGTATGTGACAGTCAGTATGTGAACAGAAATTAGGACATTGGGGAAAGAAGGATAAAAACGGTGAGTCAGAAAGGGATGGAATGAAGCTGACATTCAGCAGCATGAACAGAACAACTTAACAGTCATTCTCAATAAGTAAAATAATCCTCACAGTCACTTGATAGAAATTGTTCTACCTGATTCATTTTAATAAAACTTACGTCCAGAAAATGGGGTCAACGAGAATGTCAAATTATTAAGGAATGCCAATAGGTGTGTGACATTGTTAAAAGCATTTCTATTAGAATATGGGTTATAAATGTGAACAATCATTCACTTTTTCCCCCAAAATGTACAGGATGGATAGATGCATGTTCCATTCCAGGAAAAATTCAGTTCTGCACTGACATCCAAAAACTCTTGAGTTGGGAGCAGATGCCAGTTTTCAAATATGAATGCAGAGGCTGTTTTTTTGGTATTTTGTAATGAAATAGGGCCTGAAGTGTCAAGTGTTTGAGGCATATTTTCTGTCTATTTAGTAACAGCAGACGTCGTCACGACAGTGAAGAAGGGGATAGCCACAGAAGGCACAAACACAAGAAGTCGAAAAGAAGCAAAGAAGGAAAAGAAGCCAGTGGTGAACCTGCTCCTGAACAGGAAAACACTGAAGCTGCCCCTGTGGAATAGGCTTGTGTGATTTTTTTGCCTACTTGCATATATATTAGTGCCAGAAATAGATTACTATAAATCTTGTTATTTTTCTGGGAATTATAATAATTTGCTCTTAATCTTGTTCTGTTAGTTTGAAATCAAAGGTTACTTTGGTTTTTTTTGAAAATAAAAGAATGAATTTTTCATGTTAAGGTTCTTGGACTGACTTTGTATTTTAAGGAACAGTGAAAAAAAAATCTTACAACTAGAGGCTTATGCTCTTACAATATAAGCAGGGCTTAAATTCTTTGTATTAAATTGTCTCCTTTTTTCATGAGCCAACGGGAAGGTCATTCTTTTACTGACTTTAGAAACAGTGTGCATTCATTTTATTACATTCCCAACATCTGGAACAGTGTGGGTTTAGCATAGCTTTTGGAGTCATATTTGGAGAGGTCACCCTTTACTACAGGGACACACAAGAACTGCAGGGTCTTCAAAAACCTTGTGATAATGTGAAGCAAAACAACCTAGGGAAAGTGGGAAAGGTGCCGATCGTTCTTAGCTGAATGGAACACTGAGCATGGTGATGATACACTTGGTAATTATGTCTGGTTTGTGTGGGTGCATAAGGATGAATTAAGCTGGATAATCATCCCTGCTGCTTTTCAGTGGCTTAAGAGAGAGTTCATTTTAGTCTTTGTTCTAGGGGAACAGCTGCCCTTAACATGATAAAGATTAACAAACATATCCTCTTCCCACTGCAAGCTTGTGAGATAAAAACAAGACTGTGGAACATGAGTAATTTCCAGCGAAAGACAAAGGACTATTTTAAGAGACATATAAGACCATCATCGTTTTCAGAACAGGATCGAGTGTGATTGATAAGGCAGTGCCACGAAAATTTTACTGCTATTCAAAAGACTTACTTGATGGTGTTAGCAGGGTGCAGTATACTTCCTTAAAAGTAATATGCTATATAAAAATCCCAGATTTAATAGTATTAATCAGAATGAACCAGGGAAACGAGGTAATTTGGTTTTGGATGAAAATAATGTCTGTACAAGTACACAGATACAATTATTTTTAATTATTTTAGAAAGTTCATTCACAGTTTTACAGACTAACAAACAGTACTTGAAAGTCTTGAAAATACCAGCTTCATGCTGACCATGAAAAGGTACACATAATCAAAGTGCTATTAACGTGTTGGATAAAAACCTTCACCTGATTATTGCAACTAGAAAAATTGCAAGAAATATTTCTGTAAATTATTCAAGATTTTCTTCTTGTAAATCAAAATAAAGTTGGTGAGCAGAAGCTGTTGCTCCTTAAATTTCATTATTATTATTATAATGCATTAAATAGATATATAGGTATGTATAAAAAAAACAACAAAAAAACCCTTAAGAACACAGGGAAGGAAGGACTTAAGTCTGTAGCTTGGATCACTCTGAAGTGATTTTCTGATGGGTGTCACTGCTTTGCCTAAACTTGACTTTTCTTGACATGCAGGTTGAAATTTCACAAACCTTTTCTTTAAAAATACATACTTTACTCCCCAAAAAAGCAAAGACTGGTGTTCCTTTTTTAGAATTTTTTTCCACATGTTACGATACTTGTTATACTCTCCAGGAAGACTTGTTTTATAAAAATGTGCCAGGCCAGGACACAATTGTGAGAGTTATTTTTCCTTTTAGTTCTTTGAGCATCCTTGCCAAGCAGGCATGCATCATTCCTGATGTATTCCTGCCATTGACAGCAAGGAGGATATCACCGCATCTGAAAAAATAAATGCAAGACAACAATTAAACAAAGTGACTTATTGTAACTATGTTCAAATGCCAAAGCACATCCTTAAGCTGGGGGAAGGGTAGAAATTAGTATTATGGTTCCTTCTCTGGCTAACTACTGTTCATGAATAAGGGAATAAAGCAGGTGAAAACACCTCTTTGCATTTGTTACAAATTTATAATTAATTAGACATATTTGAAAGAAAACATGATATAGTTCTTTTGACATTCATGCTGATGAAACATCATCACAGAATCACAGAAGGGCTTCAGTTGAAGGGACTTCAAAGATAATCCAGTTCCAATCCTTGCTCTGGCCAGGGGCACCTTCTACTAGACCAGGTTGCTCAAAGCCCCAGCCAACCTGTCCTTGAATAAGGAAGAGGCATCCACAACTTCTCTGGGCAACCTAGTCCAGTGCCTCACCATCCTCACATTAAATAATTTCTTTGTAATATCTGGTCTAAAACTACTGCCTATCAGGTTAAAGCCATTGTCCCTTGTCCTAGCACTACACACCCTTGTAAAAAGTCCCTTTCCAGCTTTCTTGTAGACCCTCTTTAGATACTAGAATGATCCGTTTCTGAGCAACTGTAACTTTTAAACCTTGTTAATTGATGTAAGTTTATGCCATGATTGTGCATTTACTCTCTTCAAGTGTATTGGTGTTTGCAGGGAAGATGTTTGCTTGGGGTGTTTAGAACCGTGTGGGAAACCTTTGTGCTGGCATGCTTTGTACCACCCCAGAGATCAAATTGACTCTTTTAACTTACATACTAGTAGAGTGCTAGACATGTGAAAACATTCTGCTATGAAGGCAAATCTGTTAAACTTCAGGATACTTATGTCCTGTTTCCATATCTCCCAGAGTTAGTTCTGTATCAGTAAGTCCTTCCTCCATCTCTGCACTGCCTTAATGAAAACATGGTTTTTAAAAACCCCCAGAAGTTAGCCAGAAGAACTTATTTAAATGCAACTTTTTTTAGATAGTAAACATTACCTAATTCTGCCATCATTATATGCTGGTGTTCCCCCAACAATGGATTTGATAAAGAATGGTTTGTTCCCAGTATGTTCTTCATAACCTCCTACGATGCTGAAGCCAAGACTTCCAGATGTATTTCTTCGCAATACAATTTCTTTGCAGCTGTACAAATACCTGAAATAAACCAGTTTAATTAAATGTCTTACAGTAACTTTAGATTCCGATGAACCACTAATAATGAATCAGCCTTTTCATGCACCCATAGACTGTTTTTAAGAGTTAAAAGTAGTGCCATATTTTCACTGTTTTAAGCACCCACACTTCTGTTCCTATAGTACTGCTTTCCTGTTACAACCAGATAACCAGTTATCCCAAAAGTAAAATTAGTCTTGGACTTAAGTAATAAATAAGGGTTTTTTCATAGGGTAGGAGTCTATGCAAATTATCTAGTTACTGTGATGGAGAAAAGCACTTAAGCCTGGATTTAATGTTTGTAAATTAGCAATTCAAAAAGCTGTATTTCTTCTACCTTGTACACCCCATGACTTATCTTCCAGATATGAGTCCGTATATGATTAATTATGTCAAATTGCTCAGGCACTTATTACTGTGGTGCACATCAAAGTAAAATAATTTTAAGGCCAATGAAATGAACTACAAAAATGACAGATGACACTACAAAAATGACAGATGACACAAAGACAGATATTGGTGGAATTAGGGATCCTGAGCTTTTCTTGTTGAGTAACCTGATAAGTTAGAGCATGGAAGATGAGAGAAACTTATCCATGTGAGCCAGTGCTTTGGAGTACTAAATCTGCTCTCAAGAAGATAACTTGTCCGTATTGTAACGATTAACGCAAGATTTTGTAGTAAGAGACCTGAAATATGCTTCTCCCTCCATTTGTCTTCTTAATGTATTTTATGATGCTATATATTATGCTCATCAAAGCTTAGGTTCCAAAACTAGGAATAGGGGAAAACAAGAACAGTGTTACTAGACTCTTAAATGTTGCCTAATGCTTTGAGTACATTAATTTCTGTTTCCTTTTTTTTAAACCAAATTAATTCCATTTGTTAGAGAGTGAGTGATAAAAATTTCTGTCCATAGTACTTTACTAACTTATCATTAGTGGTGTCCCCAGGAATGACTGAAATTCTGAATGACTAAAAAATACATTTGCTACTCCAAATATTAAAATATAGGCTGACCTGCAGCAGGCAACTGTTAAAAGCTCTATTCAGAGACTTTTTAGGTTTCTAAGAAGCATCTGACACTTCTATAGGAGGACAGACTTTATCTTCAAGACTGATATACCTGGTGTTTTAAAAAGTTCATTTGCTGTCTTTCACAGCAGTAATACTAGATTAGTCCCCCAAAGCCTACTGATATTCACCTGCTGCCAGGATGGCAGGTATGTAATATTTGCACAAGAATTCACTGGTTGCTAATATAAGAAACGGGTGACATTTGCTTCTTCCTCAGCAACCGGGCATTATTACTTTACCATCTGTGGACTTAAAAAATGCGCAAAATCACTTAAACCCTTTATGTTTAATGGTACTTTATCAAGTATGACCAAGCAGTGCCAGGATTCAGCTATTAGTGCTATTAATTCAGCACTGATTTTGGGGCAGAGGTCTCTGCTACCCAGTGCTACACCTACGACTCCTTCAGCAGCACATCCCTGAAATTGAAAGGTAATCAGCTAAATCCTAATGCCATAGAAAATTAGTAGGCAGGCAGGTAAAGACAGGAGGATAAAAGGCAGTCAAGCCAAACACACCTTAAGTGCATTTTATACATACAGTCTATAAGGTTATTGCATGGTCTCAATCAGTCCAGAAAGCCTAAATACATATTTGCTGTCAAAGTGTATGATAAATTAAGTAAAATAGACACAGCATAATAGCATTAGGATTGTTCTCTCTGCCAGAGCAAACACATGGAAACCAAGGAACAGCAGAGAGCAACACCCTGTTGTGACTCCAAGCCCCTGCGCTGCCTGTTGCCTCACCAAAGGGATTTGGTGTAACCTGCTGTGACAAGAAGGCAGTGGAGACATGGAAGTCAGGAGAAGAGATTGTCAGTTTGGGAAACCCCTTTTCTCCCCTTTTCACAAAGTGTTTACAAGCTTGTCTTCTTTGGTTCCCAATACCCAATTGGGAATTAAATGCTTTCAGTTCTGAAAGTCAAGTCTGCTTTGGCCACAGCAATAATGAGTGAGGGATTTGCCCATCTTTTGACCAGAGTTTACTCACTCTTCCCCTTTTCACTCACCCTGCTGTGGGTATTGGTGCAGGCAGGTCCAACCCATCACAACAGCCATAGCTAGAGACTGACAAAAGAATAGGAGTGTCTAAAATATGTTTATACCTTTAACTCAATGTTTTCTAATCTCCATCCTATAGGATAGAGGTATAAGCATGGCAGTGCATCAGTGCTGTTTGTCAGCACTGTCACAACTGTGAAAAGGATGCTGGCAGGCCAAGCTGAGCTGTAGGTACTGCAGGTACTGCTTCTCCTAAAGAGTTCAGTGCCCAAGCAGAGATGCCTGCTCTGCCTAAGCAAAGAGCAGCCCAAAGAGAGTCAATTCTTTTAGGGCTGTTTAATCATAAAGACAAGCTACAAAGTACCATAGAGAAAAAATAAAATTATATAAAGATACTTAGTGTGTTTGAGTGGCTCATATTTCTGTGATAATGAAAGCCTCAGTCTGGGTGTTTTGACCCAGTCAAACTACCATAACCCACCAAACTGCAACCAGTCCAAGGAGAGCCATCTCCTTGGAAGAGAGCAGCTCACAGTCTTCAGCCTTTATCACTAAATACTCGGGAAGATGAGGATAAGGAATAACTTATGTGTGAACGTGCCTCAGATACAAGATTTGGGGATATACAGTGTAGCCACAGGGTCCAATCCTGAGCAATACTACAACTAAGCATCAGTTACTAATGCATGAGGAATTTCAAAGTGTCTGTTTTCAAGTAGTTAAATGTACAATTCCCTGCTGATTTTCATAAAGCACAAGTAGCCTTATGCTCAAGGAATGATAACCAGCCCAACTGCAGGACGATTTCAGCATTAACAGCTATCAAAAGGGTAACTCCCTCCCATTACAGTACACAAATGGCAGCCAAGTAAGTAATATTTGAGAATTGTTTCCACCAGCATCCTACAGTTCAGATTGAGTTGCTTTGGAGGTGTTTCTGACCTAATTTCATGTTTTACATCTTGTTCTACCCCAGGTTTGCAGAATGACTTTGGCCACCTTGTCTCTTTCTCATCTCACTTTACAGATGAAGAAAGACAGTTGTGTGAAGTACTAATGTTTGTAAATGTTATGACAGGACGATGTAAAAAGTATTCTAAGTACTAGCTGAGGGAAGGAAATGTGAGGAGAGCAAAGAAAGGAGAGCAGGAAAACAAAGCAAGGGTAGAAGCAGCATCACAGAGCTGGGGAAATGCTTTTTGCCAGCTGTTCCCCATTATTGCCTTTGTGCATGCTTCACAACAACATGTCCCTGTACCAATAAAGAAG